ATTCTAAAACAGATCTGTGAACCCCAAACATATTTCCCAACCCCAGGGAAATATGTCAGCACTTAGATCCTTGCCCCTCATTGATCTCACAGTTTAGTTGCTTATCTGAAAGGTTCTGGCACTCATGCAACCTGGCGGAGCCACACTGAGCCGACCGCTGCTTCCCCTTAGCTGGGAGAGGCTCCTGCCTGCTCTAGTTTTTGAGGAATCTAATTGCCCAGCAGAGCCGCAGCGCTGTCTCTTCTGCTGAGCTCCGCCATGCAGACCCACATTCATTATGTGGGGGCTTACACACCGAGGCCCCGGGAGAGGGGATGGCCCGGCTCCACTCCAGATGCACACGGTCCCCCTGGTCGTGCCCTCTATTAGAGCACGGCTGGGCAGACCCCTCGGCCTTTCTCCTGGAATTTGAAGGGATCAGGATGAAGGCTGAAGCTTAGGTTTTTGAGCAGAGGTAATTTCAGAAGGTGGAATCATAGCTTAAGGAACTCTCGTGGGAATTTTCCTGATGCAAAGCTAACAAGACATTGTGATAATTTCTCTGGAGCTGGCCTCATTCCAAGTTGGATTTTAAACGCAGATTATAAAGCAAACACCATCCCCCACAAGTATTAAAGGAGGGGAAAATAACAGAACGGGGGCTGCAAAAATGGTCTCTATTGTGGGACCAAAAGCCGTCAATCATGCAAGCTGACAGGCGTCAGAGATTGACAGACAGGCCCTCGCTCCTGACTTCAGTTATCAAGGGGAATGGGAAAAGTGTCTGCAAGAACATGTTAAATTGCCAAAGTCATTACCAGTCACCAATTACCAAAGAAAAGATAACAAGGTGTATTTTAGAAAAATCGATGCAACAACATGCATTTCAATACAGTGAGTTTTTTAGAACTTTCGAAAACAAAACGAACTATTTAGGGAATACACAATGGTTTTCAGTGCATACCAAACACTGGGCTTTGTAAAGTTATCAATATTCACTTTGGACTTGGCTCTGCTTTAGGGGAGCAGAGATCAAGCAGTGAGCTAATATATTTCATTTTTTCCCTGCAGTTCTACCCAAAGCACGAATGCAAGCCTGGAGTGCCAGGTGGTTCTCCTGCACACTCCCACAGGAAAGACCTGCCTAGTGACTGAGGGCACTTTCTGGGGCCCTGGGGCACAGGGCAAGTAGGTGGAGGGGTGCTGATGCTGATGAGCTGTGGGCACCTGTCTTACAGACCTTCCACAAGACCCAGCGGAACCTCCCAGGCGCCTGCTCTGAGTCCCAATCACCTGCTCTGAGTCCTTGAAGATGAAGATAGGAAGGACCTAGTTCCACCCTTGCATGGTGTGGCAGGGGGTGGCACACAAAGCCAGTGGATTAAAGGACAGGCAGCCTGGCAAGTGTTACCGGAGCAGGAGGCCTCAAGGGAAGAGGGTGGGAATGGCTCCTGCAGCCTGGAGGAATCACAGGGGCCCAAGGGAGAAGGAGCATTTGTGCCGATTCTTAGAGAATGAGGACCTCCGTAATCGGAGATGCACCCTCTGAAGAGGGGGGTGCAGCCAGGGAAAGGGAACGGCCTGGAGGAGGGAGACAGCATGAAGGGCACAGGTGAGCTCTCGGTGGCATGCCTTAAATGGCAGCCGAGACACTGGCTGCTTTGAAGGCAATGGGGGCGGGGCATTGCCAGCTTGGGGGCAGGGAGTGGAATGTCCAAGTTGTGCCTTGGGATGTCAGTTCTGGCGGCAGCGTAATGCACGGACGAGACGACAGCCCTTTTGAGAACAGCTGTTGTACATCTTTTGAGACCAGCTGAAGTCCTGGACAAGGATGGGGCCGGGAAGATCCGGTGGCCTGCCACCCTACTGTGCGGCATCCAGGACCCACAAGCCCCTTCCTGGTCTCTGCCTCCAGAAGGCCTGCCCCCCGCTCAGGCTGTGCTGACATGCAGTGTCCTCACGCTGCCCACTCTCTGTTAGAACATCTCCCTCTGAACCTCCAAGGCTCTCGGCCGAGTGCCCGCTGTGTTTGAGCCATGCATAGTTGTCACGATGGTCCGGGTTAGAAGCTCTGTGAGGACAGGAAAGCTGTCACATATATTTCTGTGGCTCTTCCAGCATGCAGTGCAGACCTTTCCTAGCAGAGAGGAAAGGTGAGACAGCAAAGCCCAGAGCAGCAGAAGCATTTTATGGTAATGCCCAAGAAACTCCAGAGCTGGCATGAATTTGTCTAGGGGACCTTTTTTTTGTTGTTGTTTTTGGTACTAGAAATTTAATCCAGGGGCTTTTTGCCACTGAGTCACATTTCCATCCTTTTTGTATTTTTTATTTTGAAACAGGGTCTTACTAAGTTGCTTAGGGGCTCACCACATGCTGTGGTTGAACCTGCCATCCTCCTGCCTCAGCCTCCCACGTTGCTGGGATTACAGGCGTGCGCCACCATGCCTGGCTGCCCAGAGGATCTTATGTGACCAGAGAAAATCAGACTTAAAGACTCTTCCTAAGCCTGCAGTGTGAGCAGGACTTGGAGGCTGGGAGAGTCCAGGAGAGGAGAAAAGCTGGAGGGCCTACAACATAGAGGGCAGTAGGCAGGAGGCAGAGGCGTGTGTGGTCAGCCCTGGGGGATAGCAAAGGCCTCTCCACGTGACAGGTAGGTGGCATGACTTTGTCCTTCATTATCCAAATGGGGACATGCTTGAGGGTGAAAGGGGCGCTGTCCGTGAGTTCTCCATGGTGGCCGACTTAGGATAGGTGTAACTTGGGATGGTTCCTGAGAAAACAGAACAGGTGGTCACTCTAGGCCCTGCTGCTGGCCACCTCCCTCCCGTCTCACCTCTCCTCTGTCTGTGCCCTTGGTCTCCGCCATTCCTCACGTGCTCCTCGTCCCTCCCAGACTTAACTGGGAGAGTTGGAATGAGGATGGAGTGTGGCTCAGCCCCTTCCATGTTTGCTCTCTGGGGGGGCAGCTGTCCTCAGCATCCGGGCATTTCCTCTTCCTCTATGTAGAGTCCACCCAAGGAGCAGGGCTGCCCTCGAGGGTAGGAAGCTGAGGGTGTGCAGCTGGCCAGTGACTGGATGGAGGGAGAAATACCAGGAGGTGATTCGCCCACCCGTCTAAGCCTTTAATCAGCCTCAAAGAAGACGGATCTGGGATTTCCGGCTCTGCCCATTCGGTGCCAGGACCCCCGAGTCGATTCTATAGTCACGTGGAGCGCGCCTCTCGTGTTATCCCCCCGACCAGTGTCTACCTCAAACTGAGGCTGGAGACTTTCAGAATGAAGGGGAAAAAGGCCCCTCATACAAGGGAGTGGTGCACCAGCCCAAGAGAAGAGGAGCGGGAACCACACGTAAGTAGAGGATCCCCAGAGCCTGAGTGGCCCAAGAGAAAGAAAACCCAGGGCTGAATTTGTCTTCACGTCCACATCCAGGTGTGAGCTTTTACTGGTTTCTTTTGAAGAAGACACAGAGATTAGTTATCAAAACACACCATATGTGTATGTGTGTGTGCACAGATATATAAATATACATATGTGTATATATGTATATACACACATATATACACACATTTGGTATATATTTGATATATGTGAATATATAGACACATATATAATTTCATTGAGGTAATAAACTACATGCAATAAAATGAAACAATTTGAGACTTTACACATGTATATGCCTGTGTTGCCACCACACCAATCAATATATAGAACACTTCCATCTCCTTCCAAAATATCTTTATACTCCTTCCAAATCAAGTCTCACCGCCCAATTTTTCCTCTCTAGCAACTACTGATGTTATTTCTCTCATTACAGATTAGTTTCTTTCATCCTACAACATTACACATGTGAATTCATAGAGCAGGTTTGTGTGTGTCTTTTTTCTCCAAGTTAGAGCATGTAACATGTAAAATGGTAGTTCTCATTTTCATTGCTGTGTAGTATTCCACAGTGTGGATGTATCATCATTTTCCTATTTTCCCATTTGTTGATGGACATTCAGATTGTGGCCAGTTTTATGCTATCTTCAATAAAACTGCTATGGATATTTATGTACAAGTCCTTCTGTAACCATATATTTTTTTTGGGTAAATACCTAGACATTACTGGATCATAAAATAAGTATAATGTTTAATTTGTAAGAAATTGTGTAACTGTTTTCTAAAGTGGTCAAACAATTTTATACCTTCCATTAGTAATGTATGAGAGTTATAGTTGCTTCCAACACTCACTAACAATTGCTATTGTCAGTCTTTTTTTTTTTTTCCCTCATTAAACTTTTGTTTTAATGGGTCTCAAAATTCTGTGACAGATTTTTGGTCAAGTTGTTTCCATTAAAAAGAGCTGCTTTTAAAAAAGTAATAACTTAAAACTGCCATGCACCAAAAACAAAGTGTCCACAAAACATTTCCCTTTCTTCTGAAGGTTTTGCGATGCACTGTTACCCATTGACCAGTCTTTTACTATTAAACTTAAATGGCCGATGGAGACAAACAGTTCTGAGACCGTTCTTCCACCACTGATTAAGACTGGGGTGGCAGGTGTTAGGGGTAATAGTCATTTAACCTTCTGAGCTTTCTGGGCAGACTTGGTGACCTTGCCAGCTCCAGCAGCCTTCTTGACCACTGCTTTGATGACATCCACAGCAGTTGTCTGTCTCATATCACGAACAGCAAAAAAAAAAAAAAAAAAAGTAAGAAGGAAAGAAAAAGGAATGTTCATGAATTTGCAGGTCATCCTTGGACAGGGGCCATGCTAATATTCTCCGTATTGTTCCAGTTTTAGCGTGTGTGCTGACGAACTGAGCCCTTTTTAAAATCCCAGCCATTGTAGTGACTGTGAGTGGAACTTCAGTGGGGTTTTAATTTCCATTTCCTTGGTGACTCATGCTGTTGAGCTTGGTTTTGTATGTTCATTGGCCATATGTATATTTTTGTCTGGGAAATGTCTGATCAAATATTTTGCCCATTTTAAAACTGATTTGTTTGTCTTCTTACTGAATCATAAGTGTCCTTTGTATATTCCGGATACAAGTCCATTAGTAAGTTGGTTGTATCTTTTTATAGCTTGTAGTCTCAGGGCCTACTTTTTGGTCTAAGATTCATTCAAGTTAATTTTTCTATATGGTGTGAGGTAGGGGTTGAGGTTTACATTTTTTCCCACATGGATTCCCAGTCATTCCATCAGCATTTGTTGAAAAGACCATCCTTTTCCACATTCAACCACCTTAGCGCATTCCTCAAAAATCAATTGGATATATATGTATATATATCTTGACTCTGTTATGTTCCATTGACTTCTCTGTGTATCATTATGCAAATACCACATTATCTTGATTACTATTAGTTTTATAATAAGGCTGGAAATCAGGTAGTTTGAAGTCCTCCAACTTTAGAACACCACACTATACATCATTTGTGATTGCTGGAAATAAATGTGCTTGGATTAAATGTATAATAAATTGTATACATTATCCTTTCTTACTGTGGGTTGTTCAGTCACTCTCAATCAATACTTCTGTGGTCTTCAGAGAATCCTAAGTTAACGGACTCATTTGGGTTTTGCAGTAAGTAAAGATGAGGACTGGGGGATCCCTTTCTGTAGGTGCCATGACTCTGGTTGCAAACCAGAGATTTTTAACAAGGTGACTTCCTGTCTGGGATTGTTCCTCCTCCCGCCAGCACATACCGGGCAGTTTGTTAGTAGACCTGCTGTCTGATTTCTCCAGCTGTGGTGTGGGGGAGAGAGTTCTGGACTAGTGGATGTCAGAGCTGCCCTCTCTGGCATTCACCCCAGGCCTGCCTGAGATTTTCACACTTGGCGTGGAAAGGCCTACATGAAGGAGTCACCTCTGGGTTCACAGAAGCCCTGCCTCCCGGGTGGGTCCAACTTTCATTGAATCCACTTGTCACATGCTGGAAGCTGCTGTCAGATGGAGTCTGCCCCCTTCCCAGACACGAGACACACAATAAATCCTCCTTAGAGCCTAAACTTGAACCTAGCCTTAGTTGGAGACCCAAGTCATATTCCATTTCAAAGAGAGAGTTTTCCCAAAGTGCAATTCAACCTCCCTTAGTTCCTGTTTCCCTGTGTCTAATACACCCTTCAACTTGGGCTGCAGCGTAGATTCGGAATCAAAAGATCTAGGTTCAGATTCCAATGGTGACACATGTTAATAGCATGATCTTGGGCCAAGCCCTTGTGGAATGAAATCCAGCATCTTCCTCACACAGCTTCTCCATGCCTATGAAAGTGTTTTATCAACATAAATCACAGTGCACCGATTCCCAAAAAGGATTATTATTACTATTATTTCTCCTTTTAGCCAAAAAATAGCTAATAGAGGCCTGGGAAATGTAGAGTTTCCTACGGGAGAAACTATTTCTTTCCTATAATGGCTGTAAGAAATTCCCACAAACTTGGTGACTTAGAACAATAAAATGCATTTTCTTATAATTCTGGAGGACAGAAATCCAAAATTAGTTTCCCTAGGCTGAAGTCCAGGTATCGGCTGGCCACATCTCCTTCTGAGCCCCCCTGGCAGATAGGTCCCCTTGGCTGCCCCTTCCAGTTCCTGGTGGCCGCCAGCATTCCTGTGCGTGGAGCCTCCTGGCTCCAGTCTCTGCCTTGATCTTCCCACCACCTTCTCTTCCTCCACGTCTCCTTTTTCTTCACCTCTTTTTGAAAAGGACCCTGGTGGTGGTGTTTAGAGTCCACCCAGAGAAGCCCGTATTATCACCTCATCTCAAGATCCTTGGCTTAATCACATCTGTGAAATCTTTACCTCAGGGGCAGCCCGCGCAGGCGGCAGGGAGGGGACTCTGGGACTGTTGGAGGCCACTGTTTAGACCACTGCAGTGTGCGTGTGTTGGTGTGTGCACCTGCACACGTGTGTCGGTGGGAATGGCACAGAACAGGAAAGCGACCGCCCTGTCCCATTTCCACACATCATCTTCCATGATGAAACAGCTTATAATTCAGTCTAAACGGGTCTTTGTGGAATCTTGCCCCAAGTTTCCCCCTACACTTCTGAGGGAGGAAGAGCCCTCATAGAGACTCACAGAGCCCCAAGGTTGCCAGGGCTTTTATGATCCGCCCAGCCCCAGGGTCAGCTAACGACTGACCCATGGGCCCAATCAGATCCTGCCTGTTTTGCCAAGTTGAGTAGTTGCAACGGGGACTGCAAGACCCAAAGGCCTAAAGTATTTACAAGAATATTTTGAAAGGATGATGGCTGTTGGTCAATGATGACCATGGCCTCCACTGTACCGATGGGGAAATGGAGGCTCAAGCTTCGACAGTGACTTGGGGAAGATTCTAGGGCTCTTGTCTAAAGACAAGATTCTAGGGCTCCTGCCCAGGATTTGCTGTTCCTTGAGCTGGGTGGAGTCCAATGCCCCAGAAACAGATTGGGGCAGTTCTCAGCCTCCTGTAAAAAATACCTATTAACTAGAGCTGCTCCCAGCTTCCAAGCTGAATAACTTGTCAGGGAGCATCCCCAGTGGCCAACACGGTGCCTGTGGAACAAATGGATGGATAACGGGTGAATAAATGATGTGGTCAAGGTGTTGGAGGGACCTAAGCTGACATGGTGCTGCCCAGGCCTGGAGAACATGGTAAGTCCCAAGCTGGGGCAGCAGAAAGGGTCCAGTACTCAAATCTCTGGACTGAGGCCAACTGGGGGCTCAACCCCAACCCGCCACCTAAGAGGCCGTAGGAAAACTTGAGACTTGGCAGAAGCAGCGGAGCTGTGAAGTCCACCGGCGACTCTCAGAGAGGTGGGGAGGCACCGTGGGGCCTTTAATGATGACTAATTTGCAGCTTATTAATGCAGCGGTAATTAAGAATATTCATTTTATTAAAAGCCGTTTATTGTAATAGTGTATGCAAATCTGGAGACCGCATTGTGCTCACGTACCAATCGACATAGGTCTATTGTGGCTCTGCGGATGGCAGGTCGCTGCGTCACTAATTGTTAAGAGTTTAGGGTCTAATTTTAAACCCTTTTAATTCCATTTGAAATAATTGCCCTAATGAAATTCAAAGTACTCAGAGGCAGCCATGGGAAAGGCGGATGGTGCCCCCCCCTCCTGCCCCCAGAGAGCTGGGCTCCGAGACCTATAGTGGGAGCTGAGCTTGCTCTGGGGCTGTGCGGGCTGCTCTCTCCTCCTGGAACAGGAAGCTGGCCCTGGGGACGGCTGGTGAAGTCCTTCATGGGCCAGGTCCCCCGTCCACACTGCAGCCTGGGTGGAGAGGGACTGAAGGAGGAGGAGGAGGCTGACTGGGTTAAGTCACTTCTGTAAGGCAGACAGGGATAGGATCTGCAGAGAGATGGGGCAGTGGGCCCAGAGGTGGATGTCCTTAGCCCCAGGGGCTTCAGTGACTCACGGGGCCAGGCCTCCGATCAGCTGAACGCAGGTTTGGTCTAGGATAGCATGTAGCTCTTGTGGAGAGCTCCCGTGTGTGCCAGGTGCCCTCCTGTACAGGCAGTGACCTTGTTTAATCCTCACAGCCTCCTCCTCAGATGGATGGCGTCCTCATCTCCATTTTACTAACCAAGAGAACTGAGGCAGGGAGAGGATCAGTGAGTGTCTTTTCAAAAAATCACACAGGATAAGTGCAAAGCCAGGCCCGAGTCCATCTGTCTTCTCAGAGTTTGTCCATCCAGTCTGCATCCTGTAGAGGGGGGTCCACACCTGTGGGGTCAAACCTGCCTGGTGATCAGAATCCCCTGGGAGCTTTATAAGGACAGACTCCTGACCGCTGCCCTGGTACCTGCAATCAGGGTCTTGGGCCTGAGAATCTGCCTTTGATGTGCTCCTTAAGTATTCTGATGTAGTCAGTGCAAGGATAGGCTCAGGGAAGCCTTGACAGATGGCTCTATTTTAAGATTTTTTAAATCCCCGGGAGGAGCCCAGTCCATGTCACACAGTTGGACTGTGATACCTGTCGGAGGCCACTCACAGTCACAGCCATATCTTTCTTGGCCTTATGAGCAAAAGGTTCTGGAAGCGCGTACTGAGGCGCTAGCTTCAGGTGAAGGCAGAGGTACGTCTTTGGAAGTCTTCACAGAACTAGCTTTGCTTGAAGCAAAGGAAATTGGGAAGGGCACACCAGAGAAAGAACAGTGTTTGCAAAGGTGCAGAGGCTTGAGCACCTATGGCATTTGATGGACAAAGTCTTCAGTGATCCCTGGGACCCTCGTCTTCTGATGTTCCCGCTCTAACTGTGGATGCTACTTGTGGCTTGTTTCTGTGAAATAGATGATGGCAGAGATGATGGAACGGCTGGGATGATGCTACTTTTATGAGATATTGTCGGGCTAGCAGCCCTCCTGGCAGCATCCACGGAGGGACCCAGGTGGCAAAGCACTGCAGGTGGTTTGTCTAATCTGAAGACCTCAGTCCTTTGGCTTTATGGAAGTGAAATCTGCCAACAACCTGAGTGAGCCCCAGTGTGGACCCTCCCCAGCCAAACTTTAAGATGAGAACGAAGCCTTCACCTTGATCACAACCTGGTGAGACCCTGAAACACAGAACCCTGGTAAGCCAGGCCTGGACTCTTGACCCGCAGAACTGTGTTCACAAATGTGCACTGTTTTAATTTGCTACATTATGGTCATTATTTTATGCAGCAATGGAAAAAAGTACAGCATCTGTTAAGAAAAGCAGCATGGCTAGGGTAATCTTCAATCTCTATGTCTGTCGGACATGTTTCCCATCAGAAATACGGTCGCCTATGTGATGCAGAAAGGATGTAAAGGGAGACAGACAAGACTTTCTCAGAAGCACGAGCGTCCTCCTGTAGGATGGAAGTGTGGTGGAGTTTTAGCAGTGGGTGACAAGGTCAGATGTACGTTTGACACCGATCACTTTGGCAACCAGAGCCTAGGATGGGTTGGAGGCAGGAAGACCTTTGCAATAGTCCAGGTAAGAGATGACAAGAGCTTGAACCAAGGGAGAGGCTTCGAAGATAGCGAGAGAGGCAAGTGACATCCAGAGGCAAAACGTGGACCAGGCACTAACATTTCTTCCATTTTTAAACATTTCTTTCTACTTTCGTTCTAGTTCATGCCTTTCTTCTGTCCAGAGCTGACTTCACTGACTTGATTTCAGCATCTCCTTATTAGCAGCATTGCTGTGAGGACATCTGGGGTCTGAGTGTCTTTCTTCCCCCAGGCACACTTTCCTGGGGAGGGGCAAGCTGGTGTGGTTTTTCATTTCACAGAGCCTCAGAGAGTAACCATCGTGAATCAGTCCCCCAGGATCTTTCTGGTCAAATACCACTTATCATGTCATCTGCCACCACCTAAAGGATTTAGCATTTCTCGTCTTGTGCAGAGAAGTTATTTGGACCCTTAATAAGATCTTGCAAAATGAGAGGTGAGTGCAAGACAGGAAACTTAACCCATCACCATCTATCCCTTCTTTCAGCATCACTGACACTAGGTATGGGGATGGCCGGAGTTAAATA